TTGCACTATTTATAGCAGTCTGCAAAGGCCCTTGGTTTCAAAGGTACTATAGGATCCCCTTATAGCTTTCTATATCCTTTTCTGTTCCTTGTGTCTGTGAAAAGGCATCAAGGTATCAAGAGAAGGAAAAGTTATGTATGTTTATATGACACAAGTACTAACAGTAGCAAAAAAATCAACCTTTTCATTATTTGGTGGTCCTTTTCATAATCAATCATATGAAACAGTTGTTAACATCACACCCCCAATATAAAGAGTATTTCATACTTCAGGTGAATGTTAGAGACCTTCTAGAATACATTAATAGAGCATTTACAGGCTTTCTATTTATAACAAACTAGCTCAATTTAAGTCATTCAGATAACCCACGTGACACACAAGAGGGTAAGGTTTGTCCAGGAAGACCATACTTACACTTCTACCTTGCTGTTTCACCTGGATGCAGGCTACAAAATATAGAGGCTCTTTTCCTACCCATGTCCTGCTATCCAGATTATGTGCTGCCATTGTGTGAGGAAAGGCAGGAATAGAGGTCTTCAGTACCCCATCATACCTTCATGATACATTACATTTTCATCTTATCTCACACAGCCCAAAATAAATGTGTGCAGTTCTGGTCCTGGACTAAAATGTTAGAATCCAAATCTACTTCAACAACATGTTTTTGTGTTGTAGTTCAATCAAAGAATGTATTTGAACAAGGCAGGCAATCAGGAACCAGGATCCCATTGTGAAATCACATTTGCAGTGGAGCATAGCACAAGCTATTTGATTTAATTTTTTGGCCTTTCATTCAACAAAGTGCCCATGATCTCATTGCTCAAGTGTCCAGGATCCCACTGATCCTATGTGCTAGTAAACAGTGTCATAGTACATTATATGATATGCTTAAAACCAAACAATATGCAAATAAAATTGCCTGGATTTGGAAAACTAGAATGTGATAACCTGAGTTGTGAGAATGAGAGCAAGCAAGAAATATTGCTTTTGCCCAGTATGGGTGGGGAAGGGAGTTAGGAGGAGGAAAGCTGAATGGACATAAGAGTATGGATGGAAGTGAAAGAAAAAAAGAATTCAGGTGTTGGGAAAGAGAGAGAGAAGATTGGAGAAGAGCAGAACAGCATATGGGGGAAAACAGGCCATCAATATTAAAGGGATATTTTATTTAGATATCATAAATGGTAAAGTGCTGATATACATGTGAGTGAATTGTGACTACATAGAAATTATCTTGTGAAAATGTATGATTTAAAAATCAGTCTCTTTTATAGGATAGAAGAAAATAATTTTGCAGATAGAATAGAACTCCTGTGTTATGCTTGGAAATGAAAACACATTGAAGAATGAAACACATTTTATGCAAGTGCTGAATAAAAGGTGTTAAAATCAAATGTCTTACATCTTATCACTTAGCAACATTAACACAAATGTTATCCTTCCACAGTAAGCTGCCATACAAATTTTGTTTTCTCCTTGATGTTTTTATATTCAATCTGCATGCATAGGTCACTTTTATTCCTTCTGAAAGCAATTAACTACATTCTTTTGACAGAAAACCATGTTTGTGTAATTTATTTTACACAAGAAAATATGATTTCAGCATTGAAGAGTATACAGAAGAAGACTGCATCATTTTTATTTACTTTAAAATTGCATTGTGACAAATCTTTCTAGTTACAGAAAATCTGCCCGGAGGCTATGTAGACTATTTTATTGACTGTAATAACCATGTGGTGACATTGTAGCCTGGTATGGTGATTAAGACTATATGGAATGACTAGGAAGCCTTAAACTTTAATGATTGTAAGCAACTCACTTGTTTTAGCCTTAGTTTAGTCAATAGCATAACAACATGTAGAAGAAAATAACACTAGTCTATCTGACATAAACCATGGTAAGGATGCTTCCAAATAAGGCTTTTAATATAAACTTTTCCTGACTTATTCTGGAAATTTTACAGGTTTTCCAGACACTCTTGTTATCACGTAACTGTTGTCCTCTGGTGTATTCTCACCGCTTCTTTCACCTTTTTCTTACATAAGAATTCCATTAAGGAGGAAAAGACAGAATACCCCCAATCTATGTTTTGAGTAGTAGCACTGTGACCTATCTTGTAAGTATTGAGCATCATTTGAGTTCCCAAATCAGTTTTGGAATTCAGAATTTGACATCCCAGATCTATGTGCAAATAATATTATTGAGCTAACTGTCAATTTCCTTCTTTGCCTTATACAACTTTGAAATCAGTTGCATGTCAGCTGTACTGAAAGGGCCACAGTTTTTCTACAGATTCATTAACCAGATTCTTCTCTAGGACCATAATTTCTTCACAAGGCCATTTTATTACTTAAAAATTTGATTTAAGTTTGATTTGGGTATAGCTTTGGTATGCAATGTCCTGGTCTTGTGCTGTGAGTTGAAATACTCCTTTTTGCGATCTCCTAGATATATGCTTTTCTGTGTAGAAGCAAATGCTAATTCTATGCATAAATGCATTTGGTATGGAACATTTTTTATTTGACAGAGTCACTTTATTTCAAAGGGTAGGCCCAAGGTTGAAAAAGTCACTGCTTTGCTTGGAGTGTGTCCAGTGGCCCTGAAGACCTTTGGCAGTCTTCTTTCATCATGTTCATTCATCCATATATCCTACTAAGGGTGACAGGACAAATTACAATGTTTCACACAGGATACCATTAATCTTGAGCAAGTAACTTATTGCCAGTTACTAGCTGTTCACCTTGAAAGCCCATGAATACAAAAGAAAATTATCCTAATGTTCTCTTCAGAAGATTAATTGAAAATGCAGTAGGTAAATTCACAGGGTCATTAACCTGAAGATGAGGGTATGGCTATTTCTGAAAATTTGGGTTAGATATTACTTACACATTATGACTTTAAAAATTGTAACGGTAACACTGTGGTCTCTTTTTCCTCTGGCCTTGGTTTAAACATGTGAGATTTGAAGCATTGCAACTATGGATTGGATCCTCAACATTAGGAGGAACTTCCTGACAGTAAGGGCGGTTTGACAGTGGAACACATTCCCTTGGAGAGTAGTGGAGTCTCCTTCCTTGGAGATCTTTAAACAGAGGCTGGATGGCCATCTATCGGGGATGCTTTGACTGGGAGTTCCTGCATGGCAGGGGGTTGGACTGGATGGCCCTTGTGGCCTCTTCCAACTCTATGATTCTATGATTCTATGTACATAGTTGTTTTTTTTTGTGGATTTTTCGGGCTGTGAGGCCATATTCTAGAAGAATGTATTCCTGGTGTTTCACCTGCATCTGTGGTTGATATCTTCAGAGAATGGTGACATGGAGTTGTATGTTACTTGTGGGCAATGGGACTGTAGAAATCAGGGGTGGCTGGTTGATTTTATACTATGGGAATGATAAATAAATAGAATAATAGAGTTGGAAGAGTCTGCAAGGGCCATCCAGTCTAATCCCCTGCCATGCAGGAAGACACAATCAAAGTACTCCTGACAGATGACCATCCAGCCTCTATTTAAAAACCTCCAGAGAAGGAGACTCCACCACTCTAGGAGGCAGTGTGTTCCACTGTTTTTTCCTATATGAATCCATTCATTCTTGAGCTTACCTCTGCTCATCTCACAGCTGCTCCTGGTTGAACGGTAACCCTCCCAGTGCAGGATTTGAAACTGGCAGTTACCATGCAACTTGCAAAGGCCACAGAAGGAAGACTGCTAAAATTAAGGGTGGATTCACCACCCTCGCAGCAGCAGATCCATTGGTTGCCTCTGACTCTCACAGACCCATTGTACACATGTAACAGTGGTGGATCGTCCAGCCAGCCCTGCTGAAGTGAACTTGACTACCCCCTGATCTTTTTGGCATCTCCCCTGGATCTCTCCCAAAGTAATACAGAAAAGAATGAAGCCCTGCTGAGTGGGATGATCTACAAGGCAAGAGCTAAAGAGGAAGGGAATGTTTTTCCCAAAATCAAGAGTAGGAGGTTTCCCTGAAGTGAACTTTGTAGCATTGAAGGGGAGGCTACCATGAGGAAGAGAGAAACAGGGAAACCTCTTTTTCATCAGTCCGATTAACCAAAAATTACTTTGAATCCAACCTAATATTTGGAAGTATAAAAGTTGCATTGGATTCATCAAACTATGGTTGCATCTACAGTGCAGAAATAATCCAGTTTGACACCACTTTAACTGGCATGACTCAATGCTATGGAATTCCAGGAACTGTAGTTGTATTCTCTTTATACAGAAAACATTCAGGGGGAGCTGTGTTGGTCATTTAGCAAATTCAAACAAAAATCCATCAGTGATGCTTTTATTCACCAATTAAAATGCTTGTACATATATACAAAATATACAGAATTTTGTGTAGTTTGGTTGGCCAATAAAGATATCACTGATGGATTTTTGTTTGAATTTGTATTCTCTCTGACAGAGAAGGCTAAATGTTCCTCAAAACTACAATTCCCAGAATTCCATAGCAATTTGCCACG